GGCTGCCTGGCCTCACTTGGACCACCAGCCCTCCTCACCTTTTGTACGTCTGGGTGGGACAAGCGAGGAACCGGAGTGTGTGGAGCCCAGACCACGTGGAAACAGTTCTCAGGAACCACTGAGCACACTGGTTCATTCTCACCAGGGATGCAGGGCAGGCCCTGGCTGTCCCCATCCTCCAAGAGGAGCCAAAAAATCCCTGCAGGGACTCAGAGCAGCCCTGTTCAGAAGTCTATAAGACTCTTCTGGAGGCTGGCCAGGGTCACGGGATGGGCCAGGGCATGGGTAGGACAAGCTTGCTTATGGCCAGCACCCTCCTTCAAGGGGAAAAGCATCACATCAGCCCTGCCCACCTCTGCAGTATCTCTGATTCCGGGTCTTTAGTTCATCCCAGTTAGACCCAGGAGAGGGCCTGGTGGCAGAGGGGCTGGATGGGCAGATACAGCCATAGGCTGGTGTCCCACAGGGTGATGAGGTGCATGGGTGGGAGGCAGCCTGGTACCCCCCATCCCCAGCTGCCAGCCCCAAGCTCTTGGCCCAGTTGCTCCAGGTGTAAAACACCTCATGAGCACTGGAAACACCTCAAGTTTCCAGGCTGGAAAATATTAGCTGCTACTGTCTGAACTACTGTGTCTTGGCCCTGGAGAGAAAAAGGCACAGCAGCAGCATAAAGACCTCCAATTAACAAGCTGTTGGTGGAGGACTGAGAGCCCACTCTTACTGGATTGTGGTAACATTTGTGAAAAGATTTCCACCTTCTGTGGAAAGAAGAGCAAACCTATAATTTCCCCTAGTTTGGGTGATGGTCTCTGGAGTTTTCAAGGAGCTTCACCTTTAAGATGCAATTTGATGCCATGTCAAAAGATTTTCTGTTCAAAGCCTGTTCTTCTGGAAAATAAATGGACAAGAAAATGAATAATTTATTAATCATTCATTTAAAAGAAGTTGTTGGCAATGGTTTAGTCAGATGCAGTGCCTTTGGCCAGTAAAGATAGTAAGAAATAAAGGATTAGTCATCAATACTGCACTGAAAGAAAAAGGTCAAATTTGTCATTGGTCTAAATCCAAAAGGCCAGGTTTTGTTCTGTTACTCTAAAATGGTGGCCTTTGGTTCCTCTTTGATTTCCACACTGCAAAATAATTCCAGCAAAGATGCAGACTCCTCCATGGAATATTTAAACCTGTTAAGTGTCCCCACTTTATTTCAGTTGTTTTTTCAAAATCCGTCAGGAATAGTTTGTGCACCCTCAAGTAGCTAGGTAGTACAAGCTGACAAGTACTGTATTAAAACAGACTTAAGGCATTGTTCAGATACAGAGAACTGAACCTGGCCTCTGGATTCACAGACTCAAGTGGATTTCCGTGGAGAAATTATTCTGCAACAATGATTCTTGGATGAATTCCTGGCTTGAATTTTCAAAACTTCTATGAGACAGGGTTTCAGCAATGACAGAATTTCACTCTCTCAACAACAACAAAAAAAAGCTGATTCCTTCTGACTCCCCTGCAATTGTACTTATACTTTACAAGCTGGCTTCTTCTGTCCTGCATCCAGTGCACCCATGGTAGATAGGTAGGCTCATTTTTGCCCTGCAGGACAAGTCACCTTTCAAGGACCAATAACCTTTACCCTGCAACAGCAGCATCAGGAAGTACCACGGCAACAATCGACTTTGCTGGGAGCTGAGAAATGCCAGCTCATGCTAGAAACTTCTGTTTGTATCAGCTGTAAAAATGGAGAGACTCTCAAACATAACTGGTTTTGACAAAAGATAAAGCAGTGCAAGTCCCACTCCCATCTGCTGTATAAATTTGCCTCTTGAATTCACTTTGTGTAGTTTGATATCATTCTCTCTTCTATACAATTTGCTTTTTCCCAGTTTCCACTTGCAAGTTTCTCACTTTTTCTCATAGCTGTTAAAGTCCAATTTGTCCATATTACTTCAACAGGCAGATCAGATTGCTAAATCTGGTCTTGCCTACACGTAACTCCAGCAGTCCATTCCCCAAGGGCAAAACTAGTAATTATTGGTAACATTACTCCAAAGACCATTCCTTTCCATACTGTAATAAATATGACAAATGTGATGCCACTGTCTGAAAAATATTTTCGACACCTCTAAGGTTTAAGTATAGAAATATTTAGAACTTCTGCATCACAATTGTCTCAATAGCTGGAAATCTGGCTTGCCTTGCTTCGGAAAGCGGTGAATACATTAACGTGTTGTTGCCTGTACTCTGCTTACTCACTTTTAGATACACTCAGTACGATTTAATCTAGATTTATAATGTTATGACATTTTATGCCTCAGCTTGCTTAAGTTGATATTGGCAACCTGGGCTGTGAATTATTTATCACCAGTGCTTATGTACTGGTATGATGAGCACCATCCAAAGCCCAAGAGGGCAACAGAAAGAAATTAAGAGGGTAGATTTTACCACATACAGAACTTAATTGGCCAGGTAAGAAAACACCTAACAAATAGGAATATAACTTCTCCATTTCACTCTCCCAAAGATGATATGGATTGTCAAGAGGGATACACCGACCTGAACCAAAGATATGTGAAAAATAAAACTATACAAGTACAGATTATTTGCTCTTAATGCATGTTAATGCTAGAGCTAGCACAGCTTTTGTCTAAGGAAGCCCTAGGTGCTGGAACTGCATGGAAATCTTGTGTTTAGCATATTAAACTTAGTTTTTTAGCTCTTCTTATTTTTTAAAAAAAGCTAGAAAGCCTGAAGGAGAGGTAGGAACTGGAGGCAAAGCGGCTCCCCCAGGCAGCCAACAACACTGCTCTGCTTCTGAGTTGAAGTGTCCAAGCAGAGCAGGACAGAGCTGCTGCATGTTGGAGATGAGCGGAGGTCTTTGAGTGGGGTGGGAGAGGCTGGGGAATGGGATTACATCTCAGGCTATGTACTGCAGGGCGTGAGAGAGCCAGAGGAGTCTCAGCGCTGCTTTCAACTTCATCTGCCTGTAGCAGGAAACCCTTTTTGCAGGACAAGGCTGTGAGACAAGACACACACCAATACAGTTAACAGTCAAGCTCCAATGTTTATCAGAAAAACGTCCTAATATATTCTTGTACATTCTAAAAATAACAGCAAATCCATGTGTTGCTCTTGCACATGCTCATTTCAAATAATAGTTCCTCTCAGCACTTTCAACAAATACTACTAACCGCGCGCAGCTGGTAGATAAGTTTCTGCTTTGTTATTTTAAAGAATCCTTTCTTATCTGTTTCTTCCCTAACAAGCACAAATTCTTTTGCTTTTAGCCGTCTTAGACCGCCGTTAGTCTTCTAACCCAAGTGCGTCATTAATTTAGACATTGTTAATCTTCTAACCTGAATGCTGACGATACTTTTACATTGTCAGTAATGCAGAAAGTTCACGACCTGGCATACGCACCCACAATTCCCCCTTTTCTTTTTATTAAGGTCTCCAGGCTGTTTACCACACAAGACAGACAACATCTCAACAGAACAAGAAATCAGCATTCCAATAATCTTTCTATGCATATTGTCTTGCAATTATTAATACTGCCTAAATATAAATTGAGAGTGATTAGAAAGATCATACAGCACAAACTTAATAAAGGACTAACACTTAGATCCGCAATTGCTGGAGAACCCTGGGTGCAGTGAGAATTCAGAGTACCCTTCTTTGCAAATTGGAAATCCTACGCGATGTGTCCATCCATAGGTAAGGCATCCAAAGTCACTGCAAGCAGGTCCAGCCTCTAAATCAACAGGCCAAAATAACTGGCAATTTTCTTTGAGCGGAAACATCTGATTTCATCCTCCTGTTGGTTCCACCCAGAGCCTGGCCAGCACTCAAGGGAGAAAACCAAGGGAGTTTCTAATAAGGTAAAACACTTTGAGTTCCTCATTCTTAATATTGCGAAACGAAGAAAGTTGAATACACACATTCTTACAGCATTTCATCCTTATTAATAACTACATTTCATCTGAACTACATCTTTCACTAGTGACTAGTAAGCCTATATATTTCATTAAGGAGTTGCAATTACTGTTATCATTTTCTCTTTTAAGAGTTAGCAGTGTAGTGTATTTTGTCCCGTTGCAGTAGCAAACATTACCCAGACATTCTGTTTAAATGATCAGTCAAAGAGACTGCAAACAGTCAGCACAGGGGCATCCACAGCACCCACAGCTGGATCCTGAGTGCTGGCTGCCTCTTACGCCTCAGGTATGGTTGCACACACCTTGCCGGTGACCACTGGAGACTGTGACCTGTGAAGACACAAGCATAACTTCTTCCCCAGGTTATTAAAGGATATATGGACCTTCCCAGTTACCTCTTTCTAGGTTTTTTGCTAACACTTGAGTCTTGCCCCAGATTTCTTGTTGATCTGGTATCTGTGACAAGAAGTGACACAATATTGGTGGCACCTGTGAGACAGGAGGAATGTTAAAAAAGTTCATGACATATAATGCCTTATTTAGCCTTTTGTGAGGTGTAGATTGATACCCTGCATGTTCCCTTCTTTTTTTTTTAATCAAATATTAATCCTGAAATTGAGATTATACGATTAAGCTCTTTGGTTGGATATATTGCTGGAGGTGCAGTCGGAATTGCAGGCTGTGGCATCTGCGCTGATCGATTTGAAATAGCAGATCTTGAGTGAAGAAGATCAACCTTTCCTCCAATTGAAGTCACTGTGGCTTTAGTAGATTCAACTTCAATTTTCATAGGGTCAAGGCCGCTGACTATCTTCTCAAGCATGGGTTCTAAGCTTAAAACTTGCAGAACTTTAGTTAGCTTCAGAATTTGTTCAGAAAGTTTATCAACTGAGTTAACCAATCTGCCTAATGTTGAATCCATCTTAGCAACTTCAATTTGCAGCTGCAATATAGCCTTAGACATCGTTAATCTTCTAACTCAAATGCTGATGATACTTTTACATTGTCAGTGATGCAGAAAGTTCGCAACCCGGCATACGCACCCACATCTGCCACCATGGGCTAAAGCCTTCAGGGATTGGTTCTTGTAGTGGGATCAAAAATGTCTTCTCCATAACAAAGCTCCTCCATGGTGCCTGTAGCATAGCAACGCTTGTTTGTAGAATCAATATTGCAACTGGTACTGCCCTGCAATACTTTGATTTGAACATCAGCATGTCCATGTGCCTCCAGAGCATCCTTTGCTCAGCCCTCTACAGCATTGCAGCAACAGGCAGCCAAGTCTTAAAACAAAAATGCTGTTTGTGGGCACAAGTTCTTCACTTTACCAGCAGGGGACAAGGAAGGCAGAGAGACTTTCCCAGACAGCAGTGACTCGGGATGAGATTTCTAGCTTTCCACCTTGTGTTCGGTCCTGAAGGACTAGAAAAATGTGGGTATCTGCACTATTTCTTGTTCCCATTACCTGCTGATCTTATTTAGTTACAGTGTTTTCCATTTTTTCTAATCTCTATTGATCTTTTTTACATTTTGTGTTTTGTTAAAGTTTTTTTTCCTGCAGCAGAGATACTGCAAATACAATGTTATCATGAGTAATGTGCTGACTTTGTTTTCTTATCTACCTCAGGACATTTATTTACCCCTTCTTCACTAGAGGCAGACCTTTCCCACTGCAATTGCTTTTCTTTGGCATGTTATTCTGTATCTATAATGGCTTCCTTCAGGGGTACTACCTGATTTACTGCGCTGAATATCCAAATGATTGGTGCACCGACATCAGATTTACATCAGGTAATTACAGCTGCAGGATTCCCAAGATCTAATCTCCAAGCAATTTGTAATCATTTTGAATTATGTCCTAATCTTCACTGAACATGTAAGTCAAATCAGTTGTGATGGAAATCAGCATAAAACTTGCCTGTTGGCCTGGATAAAACAAATAAAACAAAGCAGTGACTTTTTTTTTTTTTTTTTTGCTTGGCAGACACCTTTGAAGGTGTATGATGTTATGGGTTAGTCGCAAATCACCAGCTTTGTTTTACTGACACCACTCTAGAGCCTCCCACTGCTACAGGCTGTGGAGATGCAATCTCAGGCCTCGGCTGAACGAGGATGTGCCCTTGCCCAGCCAGAAGTGTCCACCCAGCAGAGGCTGTGCACCGGTGCAAACTGTGGCTTTCTCTCCCCTGGCAGGGAGCTTTGCACTTGATACAGCTATTCCAACTGAAAGAGAAAAGAGGGGCAAAACTCCAGCATAAATGAGGCTTTAGAGACAAAGGGCTCTTTTCTCTTGTGTAAGGCACATGGCAAGATTAGGAATCATGCACGGTCTGGTTGTATGTTAAGATGGTTCCTTTTTATTATGTAACTTAATAGCCTAGCTGAACTTCACACTGTAAAACACCTGGGAGAGTAACTGAGCAAGAGTAGCATTACACATTTGGTGCTGCACAGAGGATGTTTTTTAAAGGCACACATAGAAATGCAGATTAACATGGAGGTCTGCAGAAATGTTTTGGATATGACAAGTACAAAGTAACCAAGGTACTTTTTGTACCCTGTTCCTGACTGTTGATGCAAGTTCAGTCTTTTCAGACAGCATCACATATTAAAAATTCTGGACATTGTTTAGTAAGAGCTCCCATACCCAACAAAGAAAACACTACGTCACATAATTTGCATGATAAATAAAATACATATTTAATAAAAAAAAAAAAGGAAATCAGCATTAGCAGTTCTTGAAATATTAAATAAAACAAAAACAGTATATTATTCCTCTATAGACTCTTACCAACTTTATGTTGCAACTGGAAGTGTTGAGGTTTTATCAGCATATAGCCTTTTTTCTAAACTTCATAGCACACATCACCCCTATTTCTTTCCTTGCTTCCCAGTCACTGTCAGAGGTGGTTTTCTCAGTGTCTAATGTGGCATGAAATGTAGGACATGTAACCTACAGAGTTCCTCAATCAAATGCCTCTGTTTTTTCAGCTAAATGGAGTATGGTCAATGAATCATTCTGGCCAGAAGCTGTCAGCATCCTTCAGCAAGTAACTGCTCCATGTGCATGCCCATAGCTCTGTCCAAGCAGCCTTGCTGGCAGTGGGCTGAGCTGTAGATTCCCTTCCCAGCTCCAGTGATGTGCTGGATAAGTCTGTGTTCTCTGTGCTCCTCTTTCCCCAGCAGTAAAATGAGAGCAATAGTACTTGCCTACAATTAGCAAATGGTGACTGTGGCCAGCTGGGAAATTCAGCTTTTTCTCACACCAGCTGAAAGTGCTCTGGTCTCACCAACAAAACAGCGTGCTCAGGATGCTTATAATTTTGTCCAGAGTTGCTCTCCACACTGAAACTAGTGCAGCTGATCCCAGAGGACTGTGATTCCATGGCTGACACAGAGGGTTATTTGTCACCAGTCACCTATACTTCTGTTCAGTAGCCTTCTCAGTAGCAGCGCATCTTGAAAAAGAATCCACCCACCTCACATTAGGTCTCCTATCTGCCTGGCTGCAAAGATAAACCTCACATATGTGCTTGAGTAGGGATAACTAGGCAGAGCTGTTTTTCTAATCCATTTCTTGTTTGTTTCTTAGGCCTCCTCTTATTTCTGCTGGGAATGGGAATCAACATTCACAGTGATCTCCTGCTGCGCCAGCTGAGAAAACCTGGGGAAGTTACTTACAAGATTCCTCAAGGTATATTCTTATCCCTCACCTCCTTGGAGAAAGTAGGGCAGGAGGATAGATAATGTTTTCTGATGGAATTCTCAGCAAAGCGACCATAATAGCAGAGATTCCAGTATCACAGAATCACAGAATCGTCTAGGTTGGAAAAGACTTTGAAGATCATCCAGTCCAACCATTAACCTAACACTGACAGTTCCCAACTACACCATATCCCTCATCGCTATGTCAACCCGACTCTTAAACACCTCCAGGGATGGGGACTCCACCACCTCCCTGGGCAGCCCATTCCAACACCTAACAGCCCCTTCTGTAAAGAAATGCTTCCTAATATCTAGTCTAAACCTTTCCTGGCGCAATTTGAGGCCATCACACAGGTACTCGCTTTGGGTGCCCCTCTGAGCTGCAGGGACTAGCGTGAGCTGGCTGCGGACAGTCCACAAGAAGCAACAAGAGTATCTGGAAAACAGGAGCGCTGAGGAGAGGTTTTAGGAAATGAGCTGGGCAATTTAGAGAAGATTGGAGTGGGACATAGGAAGAGGATTTTAGCCTTGTAAAAGGCATCTGCAAAGAAGGAAATATTCTTCTCCATGGCCAGGAAGAAGTAGCGGACTTCTTACAGTGCAAAAGGGAGATTCAAAGTGTAAACTTTAGGGGAAAAAATAACACCAAGGATGCAAGGTGCAGAATTTCCTTTCTGTCCTCTTCAAGGTGGGGCTTGGTGAGGAAGAGTAGCTGTGGGCTAGAGTGGTGAACCAGGAAATGTCTAGTTCTGTAGAGCAATTGAGATAGGGATCTGGGAATTCCCTGGTTTTGGTGTTGACTCCTTCCACTGCCTTGTTACAGGTGGTAATATCTCTCCCCCAGAGTTTCACGCCTCCAGTACTTAACTGCCTTTTGCAGATGCTGTGATTAGCTAAAATGCAAAACTGAGATCCAGATTTTGCATTTCCCAAAGGTCATGGAATTGCAAAATATTTTTAGAGCCTAAAGAGAATTGACTAATGTTAACAATCTTAATTTAAATCTAATAATGGACTTTCTTAAGTACTTTTCCAAATGAAAATTATTGTGAAAGTGCTGGAAACCTCTGGGTTAGAATCACCTTTGATTGCTGTACTTGTACAAGTCTTGTACAAGATCCTCCTTTGGCATGGCTCCCTTGGCTTCAGGGCAGCAGGTTTAGGTTGCTGTTATGGGCTCTAAATAAGAAAGGTAGAATATTCTGCTGACTTTATGGGAAAGAACTTTCCATATGCATGAGATGACTGTAAAAATTACATATTTTGTCTGTTGATACAGGAGGATTATTCACCTATGTTTCTGGAGCCAACTACTTTGGAGAAATTGTGGAATGGTTTGGTTTTGCCATAGCAACCTGGTCCCTACCAGCCTTTGCCTTTGCCTTTTTTACGCTCTGCTGCATCGGGCCACGTGCTTATCACCATCACAGGTATCAAACCGTTTCCTGCTGTATGCTGCTCCTTGCTCTTGGAGTGCAGTTTGCAAAATGCCGGGGAGGGGCAGAGGAGCAGGGCCAGGATTCGAGACAAAATTGATATTTAATACTATGTACAAGAAGTGTATCAGCTTATTTGTGACTGGGTGAAAGTAAGGCAATCGGCTGGAGCTCATGTTCAGTGAAGTGGGCCTGATAGTAATTTAGTCCAACATGATTTACATCAATGCTTCCACCGTGTTAGAGTCTCTTTAAATGTGAACCTTTCCTAAGGGTTCTCTTGCAACCTCTGCAGTCCTTTGGAATAGATACAGTCCCCTGCTCTGAATTCCTAAAGTTTCTACTTTAGGTCTGTTAGAACCTTAACAGTATTATCAGCTTTCACATAATTAAATAACCTGGTGTAAATAGTTCCAGAATGCTCTTTTGCAGAGTAACACACAAAGGTTACAAAGCAAGGCAGTTTGGAGGAGTTTTCAGGTTCCTCAGCTATGCTGTATTGAAATTGTGCAGTTTTGTTGTATGTATGCAGGTTCACTCTCTTGCTTATTTTCTTTCAGGTACTATCTCAAGACATTTACGGACTATCCAAAATCAAGGAAAGCCTTGATTCCTTTTGTTTTTTAATGATTGAAATATGGACTCTGTTCTGCTTTTACAGGGCTTTTTTCAATTCCTAGTTTTAATGTTAGGTCTGACTAACTGTACAGTTGATAACCTGGCGTTGTAACAGACAAGAAGGTAATTTGGAACTGAAGTTCTTGGTTTTAATTTCAGGGGAAATTGCAGGTAGTTGTGGGCAAAGGGCTTGTCAGTGGAGTTCTACCTATAGAAAATGGATATATAACTGGGATATATAACTGCACTGACATCAGAGAAAAAGCATTGGCTAAAAACTGATGCAGGAAAGTAGAAAGTAAGCCCATGACTTCAGAGAAAGTCTTCAGCAACCATTCCAATTTATAACACTTCTGCAGCTGCTTCTTCCTGCCTCCATGCCATAGCACGGATGCCCTCACTCTGCTGGCACTGCCCTAGGTCTTGCCATGCTTTAAACAGGAGTAAGGGTCTCCTTTGCCATAAAAATAACTCAGACCATTATTTTTCATCTAAAATCCAGCTTAGCTCCCAGAACCATAATGCAACAAGAGGATATTTGTGCCAGCACAAGGCTGGGAGCACTATGCCATGGCACAGAGAGATGCAAAGTACTCAGAGATGGAAGTATCTGAAGCTGGCACTCAAGCACGATGTCTGTGTTCCTTCATTAAGCAATACTCTCCTCACTGTCAGATGATTAATCTTCAGGCATCAGAGGTTTTTTTAAATGTACTTTGTCAAAAGAATTGTAGCTCCATTAGGATTTTTCTTCTCTTGCAAATCCAGAGCTCTTTTCAGAATAAAAATTTGTCCTCTCAAAAACACTCAGTTGTTATTCATAAAATCTTGAGATGGTGATGTATGACAAAAGTTAAAACAAATAAAAAGCTCTGTGTTGAAGAAAATATTCTCCAACACTGGCAGTACATTTTGTCTACAGAGAACATTTTCAGATACTCATATTAGGAAATGATATAGAGATATTACTGAATTTTCACAAAAACACAGGATATCTCTTCTTAATTTCAGAATATAGTCAGGAATTTAAAAAAAAAAAAAGTCATTAACCTCAATGGGAAGAGACGTCCCCATGGATGTGGATAGTTTTAGTTATACCTTAGACCATAAAGTCCTGCTAAGAATTATGCCAAGTAGCTGGAAAGACCAGACAGCACATACTAAACATACTACCTGTTGCTGGAGTCAGCTGATTGACTGTACACAATTTTCTCCAAAACACAATAAAATTTATGTAAAACACAGAGCTGTGCTAGCCTGTAACTTACTGTTTGCAGAAACATGTCTCTGTGATGTTGCTTACCAAGTCCTGCGCATGCTGGCTTCCTCCTTCTGGGTAAACCCTCCCTTATTTGCACATTAATTGTCTTCATTAAGGTAGAGCAGAGCAGAGCAGCCAGCCGAGGCAGGGTCCCGTTGCATTAGTGCCTGTACAGAGCACAGGAGAGCTGGACCCTTTCCCATGTGTAGGCAAAGGTAAAGGAGGGATGAAATAAGGCGCCAGCAGAATTGTCATTGCATGGGCCATGAATTTCACATCAGCACCACAATTGTCTTTTGCTTTTGTTTCCTTATTTAAATCTTCCCTGTGGAAACACACTGGGAAGGGGGTTGCTGGATGTGAAGTCAAGGACAGGAAGGCTGGAGGCGACAAGGATGCTGGTGGGAAGGAATGGCCTCTTCCCCAGGGAATGGATGCTGAGTGTGAGCAGCGCAGTACTCCCCAGGGCTCCCAGCCTCAGCAGACCCTCCTTGATGATTCCTCTTTGTGCTTTTTTCCCCCCAAAGCCCCAGAAGTGATGAGAGAACAAATAGCCCGTGGGTACCAGTGCCCATAGCTGCTGTGTCCTCCATGTATTGCCAAGCCTGGGACAGGAGCAGGGACCAAGCTGTGCCTTACCCTTTGGATCAAAACAGGGTTTGTGCACACTTTTCTGTCCCTCCTACCTACCCCTCCTGTCAAAACAGGACTATTCCTGGCATTTATTTTCTCTTGCTTAATATTTGCGCCAGGTACACTGTTACTATTGCCACTATTGGTCTCAAGCTTGGATATCTGCTGCAAGGAGCCGGGGATCAGGGTGGGAGAACTGACACTGCCCAGAGGTGGGAGCTGGCCTGCCTGCAGGCTGGGGGGGCCCACAGCCCTGTACCCCTGAGTACAGGGTGCCTCAGGGTGCCGGGCGCCTTGCAGGAGCAAGTCCATCCTCTCTGTCACAGGCCTTGGACATGGCGCATGGAAAGGGGCTGCAGGTAGTAAAGGAGCACATCTTTCTTCTGCCCTGCCCCATGATGTGTTTGGAGAGCAGGAGCAACGTGAGTGCTTTAAACCCTCCATAAGCAACGATTGCATTTAATAGTGATGGAGAGGAGATGTAGGCTCTCCCCATGTTGAATTTCTCCACGAGGCAGTGGCTGCCCCTCTGCCCCTGTGGGGACACCAGTCTGGCCCAGGGTGGCACACCTGGGGGAACAATGCTGCCAAGAAATTTGTTTCATCTTCCCTTATTTTTATAAGGAAAAATATATTCACCTTGACTCTGGGAGAAAAATGTAGTGGAGATTTTCATATCCCTCTGCTCAGGCCTCTAGAGACTACATACACATATAATTTCAGAGCTGACTGTGAAGTGTTTTGAAAAGCAGCGTTTTTCTGACTTCCTTTGCAATGTGCTTTTGTTCTGCCAAAAGCTAACAGAAGTGTCCTCCACTGATAAGCATTTAAAATAATGATTTCCTTTACTCCCCCTTTTGCAATACAGTTTTTCTGTTTGGTTTCCTCTGATTATTCACATTTTAGTTTTTATTTATCTTTGAGGAACATTTATGTTTAGGTGCTGTTCCCTTGGAGAGGCCTCCCTCAGGACAGCTCTGAGTGTTGCTGCTCTGCTAGAAAGACCTCTCTTATATGGAGCTGATAACCCAGCCTTCATCCCTCCTGGCAGCCTGCTGGGAAAATTAAGCCTTTATTCCCAGGAGTCTTGTTAATTTAATTATTTTTGTATTGTTCGAGTGCTTTTTTCAAAAGCAGACTTTCTGTAAACACGTGCTATAATGCTGTGGTAATACACAAATGGTTTAATCATGCATCTGACAGTTTCTCCTGTGAAACATATTTTCTGAATCTACGTGATCACACAGACCACTTATTGATACCAGAATTTAGATATCTAATCTCTTCTGACAACTGAAAACAGAATTAAATGCTGTTCACTGGGAGGCAAAGAGGAGAACAATGGCACTTGCCAGCCCTCATTCTCATCTCTGTGTGCCACACGCACTTCAGCCTTCGCCTGGCTTTGGTCCATGCTTCAGAGGAGAGGTCACTCGAGACAATAGAAGACCAGCTCCAGGCAAAGTAAGACATTTGTAGCTATTGTTTTAAAATACATATTTTACATAATATATTTACACAAAAGGCAAAAGCCCCCAATATGGGCCACTGAGTGACTGTCTTTAGGAAAAGCACTCATCTGAGAGCTGCACTCCTGCTCACATTACTCTACTGGAACACAAAGCCTCTTACACTTGGCCAGAAGCTCTGAATGTTTCTTCAGAATTACCAAACCGTCGTGTGTCTTGGAACCAAAATTACTGAGGAACTCTCCCTAGGTAGATAGAATGCTCTAATGGCTTGAGCTCAAGCATATCTGTTTTGTACTTTTGATGGTGACACTGACTGACTGATGAACTTCAGCAAGTTACCGCTTTTGGGGTTGTTTTCCTTTCTAGTGCTTGTCTCTGGAAATGGTCTTGAAGGCCAGGATTTGTTTTCATAGTACTTGGCAAAGCACTCCCAAACTCAGTTGAGGCCTGTAGTTACCGATATAACACAAATAACAGCCTGTTGCATATTCTTGGGAAAGAGTTATTATAATACTGCAAAATATTCTAAAGACATGTAAGATATCCAAATGCACTGAAATGCATCTTAAGGAGATATTTCTGTGATACTTCATCACAGAAAAAGGCTAATACATGTCACCTGATGAACTTTATGATCATTTGCTGGCAGCAGAGGGATTGCCTGCTTGTATTTGATTTACTTGTCAAATTAACAAAATCCTTTTCAGTGCAAATCACCATAATGTCTCATTTAAATCCAAGCATAGTCCTGAAAGCCTCGTAGCCTCTCTTCTGCCATCTCTGGGGTCCTCCTGACTCAGTCTAAATTCTCAGAGCAAGCTTTTCTAGAGATGCCTCTTCTCAAACCCAAACACTTCTGTCTCTGCATGCAAAGTGTGATCTAGGAAAAACAAAGATCTGATACTAATTCAGGGCCAGGGCCTGCTGGTTCGTCATGAGTAGTACCATACTCTGTGAGTAAAGGCATTGATGGCCACTGAGCAGCTCCTCAAGAGCATGCCACTATTCACTACAAACAGAGGTAGCAAGTTTGATCTCTGTGGGAGCAAAATTGGTGGGCATCAAGAAGTGCCTAATGGTAACATCCAAAAAAGTAAAGGAAGACATTCAGGTCTGGTTCTGGTTTATGTTACCACAAGTTACAAGTGCCTTTCCAATAAACCTGTCTTTAGCACTGTAAGTCTAAAAGGTAAAAGAAAACAACACAGAAGTTCACTAAATTAGCTCCTTTGCATACTCCAGAGAGAACAGACTGAGCTTAATTGATGCAATGTTTGGAATAATCCCACTACCATGCCTTTCAGCTAGGTGCTTAGGCCTCTTCGTCCCAAGCAGAGTCAGTGGTGACATTAGCTCCTCCAGGCTGTGATTCACAACACCCAAGCTGGAAGCCTAGAATCCCACATAGGAGACAGGGATGCTAGAAGTACAGCCCGGTGAGCCCACATCTATCCATTAATGGCATATGCATTGCTTATGGCCAGGGCAGAGACAGCTGTGTTTGGGCACTCTGACCTGTGGTGTCATTTCTAGAACCTGAGTTATCCTGTTTGAACACTTCTCGTATCAGCTCCAGCATCACAGGCACCTGCCAGGATGCTTTCCAGTCTACTTGCCTACTTCTCCCAAGTTTGCCATGTGAGATGACACATAATACTGTATATTAATTAAGCCACACTTTCCTACTATACCAAACAAACCATTTCTGTTTGGACTGAATTTTTTTTCACTCTACAGTGTTGCTGCCACAAGGAAAGGCCCTTCACTATATGAGGATGTGTTGCACTTGTACACTGTGTGGTAAAAGATGAGGAGGCTGCTGAGAGGTTCATTTTAATGTGTTTGCAGCAGCCTTGCTTGTGTCTGACCCATGTCTGGGTGGAGTGGGTTTCCCCTGCCCAGCTGAGTGGTGAGAGGCAGAGCGGCTCCGAGTCCCCTGTGCCCCCATACTGTACCCACCAGCCCTCAGGAGCTGGCCACGGGCTCCCCGTGCCCACAGGGCACTGGATATCACACCTGTGAAGGGGAACGCGGCTCTCCGGTAAACCTGAATCGTCCTCCCCATCCGCATCCTCATCCTCATCTTCCTCATCCTCATCCTCCCTAATAGGGGACTGCCACAGATCAGGATGTTACACCAGAGCAAAGCCCTCTTTGCCCAGCATGACCAGGTACCTGCGCCCAGCCCTGAGTGAATCTGTTTTCTGTGATGGAAACTCCTGAAATGATTCACATTTCCCTGGCAAGAAAGCAGCTCGCAGATGATATGGAAATCCACCTCTGCCAAAAGGGTCAGAAAGTCTGTCTTTCAGATCTCCTCAGGAACAGAAAACCTGTCCTTTCACCAATTACTAACTTGGAAGGTATTCAAATAGAGGAAACCAGGAAAACTTTGTTCACAGTGGATTTCTAGATTGGGGAAGCTCCAGCAGGCCTACAGACAATTTTAAAATACTGGGAAACATCAAGACACCAAATAAAAAGCTGGTCTGGAGGAACTACATTTGCATCAATGGATCTAAATCCTCTTTTCCCTCTGCTGGGAATTTGTAACTGTCACACTGGTAGTAAATAGGAAAATGTGTATTTCAGCACTGAACATACTAATCCTGCCCTCTGTGCAGCAGGGTGAAACCTTACCCTTGCTCATCCTGGCAGCCTTGCACACTGAGAAATGTTTCTGGGTGTGTTAACTGAGCTATGTCAGGCAGTCCTCTTATGTGTGATACAACTTTGGCTTTGCAGCCAGCAAGCTAAAGCCCGAGCCCAAGTGGTTATTAGCATATCTGTAGATAAAGTCATAAACAGCAAAATGCATTGGCTGTCCTAAAACTGAGATGGACACCCTGGAGCTGTGCTAATAACATTGG